AGCTTTGTAAAACCACTAATATGTTTATATGCAATGGGAGACTATACAAAGATAAGGATAAAGGCAAAGTGACATGTAATGACTCAAGATTAATCGACTATGTTTTATCCTCGCCACAATGTCTTCCATGTTTTGTTGATTTTGATGTTATTGATTTCTCACCTTTGTATTCAGATGTTCACTCTCCCATCACTTTCTCATTAAATATAGGTCTAAACTCTAACTCAAAACCACCTGAGAATAGGCGGGAAAATGTAATAAAGAAATTTCTACAAAACCAAAGCGGTATGACATAAATGAAGCAAAAACATTTGTAAATAATATTAACAGAAACTGTGTCCTGGCATTGACCCATTTATTGAAATCAACAACAAGTCACGACGACCCAGCACGGGCAGTCAATGACTTTGCAATTGACTCTGGTGTAGCGCACCTTCTGCCTGACGCAGCAGGAGAACCATTGGGTGTGAGACGCTCGCCTCCACCAGTGTCGAAACGAGATTGCAATGATAAGCCTTGGTTTGGAAAAGAATGTCGAGAAAAACGTAAATGCTTTCAAAAATCAAAACGTTGGTATTTTAAAAGTAAGACGAATTCAAATAAGGCTGAATATCGCCGATGTTCAAAAGAATATAAGACATGTCTGAATAAACATATAAACAAGTATAAAAATAAATTATCCCACTTGATCAGAAAAAAACAAAAGCATTCCCCTAAAGAATTCTGGAAAATACTAACAAAAAGTAACCAATATAATAATTCTGAAATACCTGACCTAAAAGAATGTTTTGAACATTTCAAGCATATCAACAGTAAACAGACTACTCCTGATTTTGAAATAGATAAAGAAATTAAAGATTATGATGATCACATATTAAATTAGATGATGTTACTTTGACAGAAGTGACACATGCTATCAAAAAGCTAAAACGAAATAAATCTGATGATATTGATGACATTGAAATGCCTATCTTATTGATTCCTCTAACCTACTTGGTCCTTTGTTGATTATTTCAATTTGATATTCTCCACAGGAATAATGCCTGAAGCATGGTTGACTGGCTCTGTTGGACCTTTATACAAAGGTAAAGGCCAGAAATCAGACCCCAATGGCTATAGACCAATCACTATTTTAAGCTGCTTTGGAAAGCTTTTCACAAGTATATTGAACAATAGACTGAATATTTTCTTGGAAACAAGGCAGACAGGTTTTAGGAAAGAACATTTTACAATCGACAACATATTGTTTTGAACATGCTTACTCGGATTTTAAAGACCTGTAAACGAAAATTATATTGTGCGTTCATTGATTTTTCTCAAGCTTTCGATAATGTATGGAGGATTGGACTTTGGCAAAACATAGTTAACAATGGAATTACAGGTAAATATTGTACGCTTATACAAAATATGTATGCAAATATCAAATCTTGTGTATATTCAAATGATAAGTTCTCAGATTATTTTCCGTGCTATTCGGGCGTCCGCCAAGGGGAAAATCTTTCACCTCTTTTATTTGGTTTATTCATAAATGATTAAGAACAATTTCTCATTGATGACAGTTGTAAAAGTGTTATGCTCGAGAATGTAAACATCTAGTTAATATGTTTATCATTTATTATACTCCTTTATGCCGACGACACTGTTCATTTTGCTGATTCCGCATCGGGGCTATAGAGTACTTTAGATTCCTTTAGCAAATATTGTAATATATGGAAAACAGAAGTGAATCCTGACAAAACGAAAGACTTAATTTTTGGAAGTGGCCCTGCAAATAATAGTAAACTCAAATTTGTCTTAGGACAATCTCCTATTGAAATTGTAGATAACTATACTTATCTTGGAGTGACATTTAGTAGAATGTAGAAAATTAATATATCAATCAAAAACCTTGCAGCAAGCGCATCCGAAGCAATGTTTTGTCTTTTAAAAAACCCTAGAAATCATAATATCCCGTTGGATTGTTTACTTAAGGCATTTGATGTTATGATAGCCCTAATGCTTCTGCATGGCTGTGAAACTTGGGCATATGAAAATTTAAATATAATTGAAAAAATCCATTTGAAATTTCTAAAATTGACCAGCGGTTTACGAAATTCTACCCCTACTTTTATGGTATATGGAGAACTCGGAAGATTTCCTTTAAATATCACAGCAGCTAAGCGTATTATTTGTTACTGGCATAAACTTATTAATCCTGGAATGCAGCAGAAATTATCAAAACTGATCAATAATTATGCATATGTACAAGGTATCTTTAAGACTGATTTTGACCCCTGGATGCATCATGTTGAATCTTTATTAGATAAATATGGCTTATCTTTTGTATTCTATAATCCTGTAAGCGTACCATGCCAATGGCTAGTTTCACAAGGGGAGACTGTATTAAAAGACCAATGAGTGAGTGAGTGAGTTTAGTTTTACGCCGCACTCAGCAATATTTCAGCTATATGGCGGCGGTCTGTAAATAATCGAGTCTGGACCAGACAATCCAGTGATCAACAGCATGAGCATCGATCTGCGCAATTGGGAACCGATGACATGTGTCAACCAAGTCAGCGAGCCTGACCACCCGATCCCGTTAGTCGCCTCTTACGACAAGCATAGTCGCCTTTTATGGCAAGCACATGGGTTTCTGAAGATCTCTTCTACCCCGGCATCTTCACGGGCCTTAAAAGACCAATGCCAACAAAGTTGGAAAGCTGATATTGAAAATAGCTCTAAGGGATTTTATTATAAACATATTAAAGACACTCCCATATTTGAAAACTTTCTTCTCTTCCCAGCTTATATTTACTATCCTATTTTGAAATACAGAACCTGTAAGCACAATCTCCCGGTAGAAACTGGTCGTTGGCATGGTATCGCTAGAAAAAACAGAACAAGTAAACTTTGCAATTTACCAGCAATAGGCGATGAATTTCAGTAGGTATTTAAATGCGAAGCCCTTTCAGATATTAGATTGAAATATTTACCATCTAGACATATAGACATATGTACTTCCACAATTTATCAACATTGAAGAAAATATTTAATAGTAGAAATTGAAAATAAATAAGAAATCTATCCAAATATCTGCTTGTATTCGATAAACTCATAGGCGAAAATGTTTAAATCTCAATTTTCTCATTCTATAGACAACAAATCACTTAATAGTTCCTAATTTATGGCATTATTATGTTTCATTTTAAACTGTTCTACCTGTCATCTGGCATGTTTGTTTATATGAATTTAAATGAATTATGTTTGATTTTCTCTTGTACAACCATTCGTGGTTATTTGAGAATAAACTGAACTTGAACTTACGACAAGCATGGATTACCGAAGGTTCATTCTAGCCCGAACCTTCACCGGCAGTTTCCTTGAGGTTCACAGATAATATGTTTTATTGAATATTATTGAACTTTTGCTCACATATTTTTTGTTATCATTCATTAAAAATAATTCTCTCAATCTCTTAGTTTGGTTATTGCTCAAAATCATTCTCTCAATTGCAAAGTGTTTGGGCTGGTCCATTGTGTGAAATAGGTAACAGGCAGGAGATTAGCTGTGCACTGGACTATGACCCTTGTTGTTATAAGCTGTAGAGGTTATGTCAAGTCAAGTCACGTCAAGGTTGATACCCCCCTATGTAGACCAACCCGGTTATGCCCGAACCATGTATAATAATAATAATAATAATAATAGGCCATTTATATAGCGCCTTTCCACGTCACAGGGATATGCTCAAAGCGCTTCCTGAGCTCAAGTTAAAACTATATACAGTTGGCAGGTACGGATGATTGGAAGTCACTTGTAGCGAAGAAATAGATGAGTCTTTAGTCGTGTTTTGAATGTACTTAGGGAAGGAGATGATTTTAACTCGATAGGGAGAGAGTTCCACAGAGAAGCTGCTGCATATGAAAAGGTCCTTGAGCCAAATGATTTGAGACTGTAGCTCGGGACAGCAAGTAACAGTTGTTGTGATGAGCGCAGGGTTCTTTCTGGAGAGTAATGTGTCAGAAGGTCTTGAAGGTAGGAAGGTCCTGAGTTGTAGAAAGACTGGTAGGTGAGGCAGAGAATCTTGAAATCAATCCTTTCACGAATACGGAGCCAGTGTAGAGAGTTTAGGATGGGAGAGATGTGACAGCGAGGACTGGTGAGAGTGATGATGCGTGCAGCTTTGTTCTGGATTTTCTGAAGACGATGGAGTTGAGAGGAAGAGATGCCAAACAGTAAACTGTTGCAGTAATCCAGGCGGGATAAAATCAGTGTCCGCACAAGGGTGGCAGTGGCTTCTTTGTTAGGACTTTGCGGATGCTGCCGATGTTCTTCAGATGGTAGTGGCAGATCTTTACTAGATGATTTATTTGCTTGTCCATGCTGAGGTTTGAGTCCAAAAGAACGCCAAGGTTTTTCACAAGAGGAGAAAAAGGAATCGAAGATTGCCCAATGGAGATATCTTTGATGATAAGGTTTCGTTGTCTTGAGATTGTGGAGATGACCATTGTTTCTGTTTTATAGTCGTTAAGTTTCAGCTTGTTAGCAGACATCCAGGATCTTGTGCTCGAGAGGCATGCTTCAAGGTTGGACTTGCACTCTAACTGACTTTGTTCTGACGACTTAAAACTGTCAAACAATTGGCTGTCGTCCGCATAGAAATGATGAGGCACATGATAAGCAGACATCAGTTTTCCGAGCGGTTGAGTATACAGGGAGAAAAGAGTTGGTCCAAGAACTGATCCCTGGGGAACTCCACAGGTTAGGGTGTGACTGGATGATGAAGACGTTCCGATGTGAATGGACTGGGTTGAATGTATACAGGGTTAATTATATGTTGTCACCCACCAGGACCACATTGCACAGTGAGCCGTATTAAATCACTTACCCGTGAACACAAATCATCCACAATCCTTTGTAATAACTCCAGGGTGGTGGGTAATTGACTACAACATATTTCCTCTGTCTGCATGGTTCACGGGTAACAGCTAGGAGGTAACAAACGGCAGACCAATCTGTTGTCACGCTCGGTTGCTTGTGTTTAACATCATTTTGAATCAGTGTAGTTGTTGCACTCAAGTGAACGTTGTCGCACAGCCGGGAGAGAGCTGCAGCTTTCCCCTTCTCAAATGACTTGTGGAAACTTTCTGTGAAAAACTCCAGACTTGACCAGTGTACAATCCACTGACAGAGGCACAGAACGGTTTGTTCACACTTCATTTTAAAGTTCTTCTGGTCACACATTATTTTATTGTTCTTCTGGTCCTGGCGCAATCGACCTTGACCGCGCAGAGGCTATTTTGTACGTAGTCAGTCTATTCAGGCCCACACCTGGGGCTTAATCACCATTTTGGTAGGATTTTTGTCGGGTGTGTTTTTTATTTGTTTGTTTATATATTTGTATATATTTAAGGTAAGGACACAGCTCTTAATCGAAAATAATTCTTTCGCGACCTAGGGCACTACAGTAATAAGATGTTTCTAAATAAAATGTCTGCAGTACATGGAAGTATTTGTCATGCCAGCATTATAACATTCCTTGTTCGACTTAAATAGGGGAACTCTTTTTATAAACTAGACATTCAATTTAGAACAAACCGTAAGGATATGTGAATTAAACGTATTCTCAGCATAAGACTTATGACACACAATGCGACAATGAATATAAATATACATAAAACAATGATTTTGTTAGTATCCTGTACAACGAGTATTATGCATTATGCTGTGAATGAGTACCTCGTTTGGATGAGAAAGACACAATAACTCGGTGCGCCTGGTGGCTGCAAGAGTTGTATACTCCACAGGGAGTTGAGATTGATAATACGAAGTGACGTTGAGATTGACATCCAAAGATCGAGGGAACAAATACCAGTGCCTTGAGCTCGCACTATTTGCCTGGATATGTGCGCTATATAAATGTCCTATAACAATAATAATAAAATAAAAACTAATCATATATAGTTGAAATAATGTTCATAAAGTATATAACAGTTTACTTTTATACATTTGATAAAATGTACTTGCTAATAACACTTGTAGTTTTCCTGACTTTAAAATCAGACAGATTTTTGAAGGTATGATTTTATAAGGAACCATGTTTAAAAATGAACGTGTCCTAGATCTTCATAAAATGAAATATGTTCTTACACAAACCTTAATGGATATCAGTCTAATCACTTTTAGGCTTTCCATTATCACAAAAACCTGTGAATAAGATTCAGCATGATCAGATACCTTGAAAAGCTCTCAGTTTTGATGTCTGGTGTTTCGAGTACGCGTTTAAGAAAACAAAATGGGCTGGAAAACAATATTTTGCATGGTTTAAAGGTCACATGCAACGTAAAACACAACTTTGCAGATTCTGATACCTTTCGGTATGGACTTACCGAAACAAATCGTCAAAAATGCAAATTCAACTTATAAAGTTGAAAAACAACGCAATGTAAAAAAACCGCGCGAAATCGGAGTTCAAACGTTTCACTAATTTTCCCCAGACTTTTCGGGGGAAAACTGGTTTCAACAGCTGGGCTGCTCTCATAGCACGTGCGCAGTGAAATAGGTTCGCGCAGTTTGGAAACGGGTTGTCCGGTGAATACTCGGTGACGGCTTTGGTGTGAGCTCCTCCACTTCATGTATCACTCTTGCTTGACAACGGTACAAGAATCTGTATCGAAACGTCGCACTCACGAAATAAAGAAGTTGTTATCCATAAAAACTTGTTCCATATTGTACGTCTCAACTTCTAAAATGCCACTCAAACAAATAGGTATGGTATTTGCACATGTCAGAAATTATACACATCCATAGAAATATCGTTTCCAACCTAATAGTTCTGCATATTCGACTTATGCCAATTGCCCATGTTTCATACTCGAGGGTTTTCGGGCACTGAGTAGGAAGACCCCCGAGTATAAAACAGAGTAATATACTAAGCAGCAAAATAAACGTCAGTTTGGAATTTTTCTTTGCAGAAACACAAAACTGTAAACTCATTTAATGTTTTGATTGTATATATCCAACTTTACTTGAGCAAAGCCTTTCCTTCCCAAACTCAGAATGGAACCCAGGAAATGGTCTCAAAAACGCAACCTGATCTCGGAGATGGTACGGTGTTCTCCATGTTTTTCATGCAACCCTTGCTGCACGTGCTGTTCCCAAGGACCAGCCCTATAAAATGCACCCCCAAACCTGGTTGAAACATTCACATTACAAGGTCAGCAGGATGCCGCGACTCACGACAGCTCAGAGGAACCAGGGGCTGGGAAGTCTTGAAGCTGGCCACACTGCACAAGCCGTTGCCAATCACTTCTAGGTCAACGTTCGGACCATCTACAGACTGCAGCAACGTTTCCGGGCCACTAACACCACAAATGATCGCCCCCGTACTGGCAGACGAAGGGTGACCACAAGACGACAAGACCGCCATGTTGTGCGACAGCATGTACAGAATCCCTTCATGCAAGCATCCGAAACAGTACGGCAGACAGTGGGAACACACGGAAGACCAATCAGTACTGAAACATTACGCCGACGTCTTAACAGCGGGAACCTCCATTGCCGTAGACCATACCGTAAACCTATCCTCACCCCTTGTCATCGGCGTGAACGTCTACAGTTGGCCCTACAACACCAAAACAGGCGATACAGGCATTGGAGAACTGTTCTGTTTACAGATGAGAGTCGGTACTGCATATCAACTGCAGATGACAGAACAAGAATATGGCGACGATGTGGCCTGCGTTACTCAGACCAATGTGTTATGGAAGGAGACTCATGGGGAGGTGCAAGCATCATGGTATGGGGTGGAATAGGCATGAACCAGAGAATGGGTCCTGTGGTGTCCCAGAACCTTGGTCCAGGGAGAGGAGGCGGCCTGACAGCGGTGCGCTACATCGACCAAGCTCTCAGACCCCACGTCATACCACATTTCGCACGTTACCGGAACAACATTTTCCAGCATGATTACGCCCGGGCCCATACTGCCAGAGCTACACGGGACTTCCTACAGCAGAACGGTGTCAACATTATGCAGTGGCCAGCCCTTAGTCCCGATTTAAACCCAGTTGAACATCTTTGGGATGAAATTCAGAGAAGACTGAATAATGTCATACCAAGGCCGATCGGCGAACACAGCCGAGTTATTGCGCCAGGCCTTTCTCAGAGTGTGGTTCAATAGCCTTCATCAATCGATTGCCACCCATGAAGGGCCACCTCCTCGTGGTGGGTGCTGGGTCACGCTAAGCGCCTTTCAACCCCCCCGTTGTGGACCCGGGGGGGATATTTTGGTCCACCAACCCGTTTGCCGTGGGTTGCACCCCTGTGTCGGTGGAGGACGGGAGGCTGGTGGTTGAGGGCACTGGTTCCAGGAACAGTGGCCCTTTGCCCAACACACCACTTTGCCCCTTACTTCACCTAGACGGGTGGTAGAACTGGCCCGGTTCTATCAATCGGCTGGTCACGCCAAGCCCTGTGCATTAATTATATGTAATTGCACAAAATCTGATTTGGACTTTTTTGAAATTTTGGTCTTGGCACCCTTCGTTTATTTACACTAATCGACTTTGTATTATGTTTATCATGAACTTTGCCTAGAGTCTTAATGCCCAGAAGGCGGTGGCTCGTGGGATTTATCTGTTCTAGATATTTACTGCTTGAGTATACCCTCCTAGTATCCTTGGTGCCGTCTGCTGGAGATCCACAGACATGAGGCATCGTCCTTGTTGACACTCCATGGTGGGTGGGGAGCTAGGAGGGTGAATCATATATATTTCTATCATGGCACCCCCACTCAAAAAACGTTCCCACGAGTCTGATGATTCGTTCTCGTCGGAAGATGAGACTCCCGTAGCTCTCATCAACAGTGAAAATTGGCCACGTTTTGTTGTCATGACAACACCTGATGGTGGTCCTCTAAGGCTAAACCCCTTTGCTGTAGCTAAGGGTATTGAAGGTTTGGCCGGTGAGGTAAAAGACATCAAGAAACTGCGATCTGGTTCTCTGCTCATTGAGTGTAGGAAACAGATCCAATCACAAATCCTGCTCTCAGCCAAATCTCTAGCCAATATTCCCGTTGAGGTTTCTCCTCACCGATCATTAAATAGTTCTAAAGGCATCGTCCGTGACATTGGACGTTGCCTTTCTGATATGACTGAAACTGACATTGTTACAGAATTGGGTTCTCAAGGTGTGACAAGTGTAAAACGTTTCACTTTCAAAAAGAATGATCAAATCACAAACACCAATACATATCTGTTTACTTTTGCCTCCCCATACATCCAAAATCACTAAAAGCTGGGTACTGCAACTTGAGGGTTGATACATTTATCCCTAATCCCTTGAGATGCTACAGATGTCAAAAATATGGCCACGGTTCTAAATCGTGCCATAATCAAGCAACTTGTCATCGGTGTGCAGGATCCTGCGACAATTCTAACGTTTGTGACAAACCTCCCGTATGTGTCAATTGTTCTGGTTGTCATCCCTCCTCCTCTAAGGAATGCCCTACCTGGAAGCTTCAATCCAAGATATCACAGATGAAGCATGAACGCAACATTACCTTCGCTGAAGCAAAACAGATTGTTCTTGCACAAGAACAATCAGGCCCGTCATACTCTGCTGCTGTTTCAGCTTCTCTTCCGGTTTCCAAACTTCACACTGTTTCATGCAATTCAGTAGGATGTCAGACCGATTACACGTGGGCAAAGACGTCTGCACCTACATTGCTATCTGTCGAAATCCAGGCAAAGCCACTTCAAAAGACCGCCAGTGCACAAACCACATCTCACTCAAATACAGTCGTTCAACCCAAAGTATCGTGTGAGAAGGATCCATCTAAATCACAGAAACCATCATCTCAATTATCTCAATCAGAAAAAAATGTGAAACAACCAGCAAAGAACAAAACCAAAACGAGCAGTGAAACGTTTAAAAAGAATCAGAGTAATAGAACCCCAAAAGGGACAAACAACCAGATCCAGATGTTTAACAACTTTGGGTCTCTTGAAGACATGGATGTGTCCGACCATAGCCATGGTAGGACACATAACTTGTCGCCCTCACGGAAGGTGAGGGGTAGATCTCCCGTTCACCCTCCGAAGGAATGATATCTTCGCCTATAATACAGTGGAATTGTAGAGGAATTAGGACTAATTTGAACGATTTACATTTATTAGTCCAAGATCTTAAACCGTCAGCATTTTG